CCATTTGTTAATTCCAGTTTCAAGAGATTTGACATCCTCTTCTGACCCTCTTGGACACCAGGAATGCACATGATACACAGACATTCACGAAGGCAAATACTTACACCCACAAAATAAAATAAATAGATCCTTAAAAAATAAAAATAGCAGCTGGGTGGTTGTGGCATTTGCCTTTAATCCTAGCACTCAGGAAGCAGAGGTTGGAAGATCTCAGTGAATTCAAGGCCAACCTGGTCTACAGAGTGAGTTCAGGGCTACACAAAAAAAAAACCCTATCTCAACCAAAACAACAACCAAAAAATCCATGGTCTTTTTGAAAATATTTGTTTTTATCTTTTGTGGGTTTTTTTTAATATTTATTTATTTATTATGCATATAATATTCTGTCTGTGTGTATGCCTGCAGGCCAGAAGACAGCACCAGACCCCATTACAGATGGTTGTGAGCCACCATGTGGTTGCTGGGAATTGAACTCAGGACCTTTGGAAGAGCAGGCAATGCTCTTAACCTCTGAGCTATCTCTCCAGCCCCCTATCTTTTGTGTTTGAGTGGTTTTTGTGCCAGATAGTTTATCTGTGCACCATACTCATGTAGTACCCTCAGAGGCCAGAAGAGGGGGTTCAGTTGAATCCTTTGAAACTGGAGTCACAGACAGTTGTGAGCTGCCATGTGGGTGCTGGGAATGGAACCTGGGTCCTCTGGAAGAGCAGCCAGTGCTCTTAACACTGAACCATCTCTCCAGTCCATAGCAGCTTTTTAAAAACTGTTTCTCTTCTCCCTTTGGTCTTGTTAATTTGAAACAAGGTTTCAATTCTGTATCTCAGGCTCCTTAGAAGGCGAGTGTAGGCTACAGAGTAAAAACCCCCTATTACCTTCACACACACAATCTTACAAAATCCATATACCCGTCCTGATTTTACTTCGTGATCCTAATTTCATAAAGACATGTGTGTTTTTGTTTTTTTTTTTTTTTGTTTTTGTGGTTTTGTTTCTCTTTGTGTGTTTTTGTGTGTTTTTTCATTTGTGTTTTTGTGTGTGTGCGCACGCACGTGTTTGTATCTCTCTTTGTGTGTGTGTTTTTGTATGTGTCTGCGGGTTCGTTTGTGTCTCTCTGTGTGAGCTCATGTGTGTGTGTGTTTATGGATTTGTGTCTCTCTGTGAGTTCATGTGTGTGTGTGTGTGTGTGTACAGAAGCAGAGATGGTAAAGAAATACACATAAATTATTAAGCTTTTCTCTGCAGTTGGATTGTGGGTAATATCAAGCTCTGCTGGAACGGCTCCTTAAGTCCTGAAGTAACTATCTAGTTATCTTTATTATAAATGAAAGCTTCTAATATTGACCTGATAAGCTTTTCCTGTAGCGTCCACCCCAAGCTCCTCTGAAACTTAATAAACGTCAACACGGTGAATGAGAGGAAAGCCTTACCCCTCCCCTCCACAGTCAGATTCTTTGAGGGTCTACCATCCTCCCCTTCCACAGAGGAGAGCCCTAGGGAGAGAGAAATCATGTATGTATTGTTTAAGTTCCCTCTCTTTGGAAACGTCAGTCTGCCCTGATATTGGGCTTTTGGCTTCTGGTATCACCCACTGAGGCCTCGGAGATTTGTACACCCTGACCTCCCCTCTCTGTGCCATCTCAAACCTAGCACAGGCAGAGTGGTTAAGGATGGTTTGGGGGCTCAGAAAGACCTGAGTCTACGCGGGGTGTGTTTGTCTGTAACCCCAGCACTTGGTGGACCAGAGACAGAAAGATGAGAAGTTCACGTTCGTCCTCAACCACATAGCAAGCTGGGACCAGCCTTGGCTACAGGAGGCCCCATCACAGCTGAGCTTGTGACTCCTCTACACCCCTCTGCAGGGAGAGGCACCTGCTGCCTCCGCGCCCATGTCCGGCGATGAATGAGAATCGAAAGCCCCGCTGCAGAACTGTGTGCAGGCTGGAGAATCCCTGGAGCCCAGGAGAAGCTCAGGAGAGACTTTGGTGTCCTTGGTGACTCCGCCCACTCACTCAGCTGGGTCTGTGAGTCACACAGGCTCCCCAGAGAATGATCCTAAGACCTAGGAAATGGCAGAATCTGAGCCAGGCCAGCAGGCTCTCGCTGCTGCTCACTCTGCCCTCCTCCTGTTTGGTTTCATCCAAAGTCATCAGCCCAGTTTCTGCCTTCCTGTTAGGTCTAGCAGGCTTGAGTTTCAGAGAGAGGCCGAGGCCATAGAAGTGGGAGGCCGGGGCGGGGGGGGGGGGGGGGGGGGGGGGGGGGGGGGGGGGGGGGGGGGGGGGGGGGGGGGGGGGGGGGGGGGGGGGGGGGGGGAGGTTGGGTTACCTGTCCAGGGTCACAGGGCTCCTCCCATTGCCTGGCACCAGTCTCCAATTCCCCGACACTCACTCTCTGCCCATCCAGTGTGCCCCTTTACCAAATGCATCCTCTTGCATTCTTCACAGATCTCCCCCTCCACAGACATCCCCCCGACTTCCCAGCATGGCTGGCCTTAGCATGAGCCCGAGAACCTGTCCAGACTCCAATTCCACTTCCAGATTAGCAGCCAGAGCCCCAGCACGCTGTCTGTCCCTAACACGTCCACCTTGGTCTGTCTCCGAGACTCTCCTCAAGCTCTCACTCCTCCTCCCCACATCCCCTCCCCCATGTCAACTCCTTCTGTTGCCTAGGGTCCACGGAGCCCCTGCAGCATCTGCACCCTCTTGGACGTTTTGGAAAACAGACACTAGGCTGGTAGATTCATCACTGGCTCCCAGGCCCTACTGAAGCTCAGAACATAGCAGACGCTCTGACAACCCCAGGGAGAAGGACACTACTGTTGTGGCTTTTTATGCCTTTGTCCTGCAGCTTCTCTACCTTCTAACCACCCAGACCCCAGGTGAAAGTCCCTGCTCCCTGCCGGACCTCTCTCTTTCTTGGCTGTTCCTCTGCCTAAGATGCTCCACCCACCTCAACCAAATGCAGCTCCTCCTTCACTACTCAGTCCAGGCATCACCTTCCTGCCCTGGATCCCACAGCCCTAGAAAGCTGCATTTGATCCTGGGGTAGCATCTAACCTGGGAACCCTGGGGTATGGCTGTTAGGAGCTAGAGGCCAACGGAGGCTTGGGCTCAGAGTCTGGGCATCAGAAGCTCCGGTGGCCAGGAGTGGTGGTGCACGCCTTTAATTCCAGCGCTTGGGAGACCAAGGCAGGTGAGACTCTCTGAGATGATTTCAAGGCCAGCCTGGCTCTACACAGTGACTTTCAGACTAGCCAAGGCTGTGTTAGAAACAAAACAAAACGAACCTGAGACTGGACAGGTGTGGCAATGATTAATATCAACAATCTTAATGACTGACTAAATGTGTACCCTTGCAGGACAGGAGAGAGGGACCAACAAGGAAACTATAGACAACGAGGCCTCAGCAGCTGCTCACTGCAGAAGCTACTGATGTGCTGGCTAATCCCAGCCCCCAGCACACACTGAAGGCCTAGTACACTCCAGGACCTGCCATTAGGCCATTCCCTGCATCGCTCCACTTAATCTTCCCAACAGCCTACTGTAATCACCGTACTTTCTCAAATGAGGTAATTGAAACTCAGGAAAGTTGAGCTATTTGGCCACAGCCACATCAGTAGGACACGTTGAAGAGGCAGTAAAAACTGGGTACCACCTGACCCACAGTCGTGACCTTTACCTCAGCACCGTATCCTCTTTCTAGAATGTCTTCTGGCTGGGAGTACAAGATCTGAACCCCTAATCTGAGCAAGACAGGGAACAGAGGCAAGGAACACATACTGAACCTCTCTAAACAAGACAAGGTTTAGCGCTCCTACGTCTCAAAGGTGTGGTTGAGGACTCTTCCCAGCAGCCCCTGGCACCTTGGCAGCATACAGAGGGGTCAACCAAACCTTTCGTTTGCATACTGCCATCACTGTGCCCTGATTTAAAGATGGTTTACTTCGTTAACTTAAGCCGTATTCCTTGTTGCTTGTTGGTGGGCAAGCGCTCTGTCCATTTACTCCAAGTCCGTTATCCTAGGCTGGCTTCCAGCTCTCTGTGTAACAAGAGCTGACTTCTGGCTTCTGAGTCTTCTGCTTCCATGCCCCTGGGGCTGGGATTACAGCCCTGGACCACCACACCAGTTTATGGTGTGCTGGGCATTGAACCCAGGGATTTCTGCAAGCTACACAAGCCCTCTGTCAACTGAGCCACACATCCTGCCTCTCTCAGGGTCTTGCTATATTCTCTAGCTGGCCTTGAACTCGTTCTGTAGCCCGGGCCTCAAAGAGGATCATAGCCGGAGTTCCTGACCACATGGCCACATGGCCTCTGGGGAAAGGAAGAGGGGACTCACGACCAGTCCTCAGGAACCACGGGGCTACTAGAGGCCACACAGCGCAAAGACAGGTGCCCAAAGCCATCCCGGGTGGCTCCCTCACCTAGGCGCTTTAGAGGTTTGACAAGAAGCAATTCAAATACGATCTCATACAGAATTACAAACGGATGGTTTGGGACAAGCCCACACTGCCAAAAACAACCACAAAAGATGACTACTAAAGGTGGTTTGGGAAGGGTCCCTACAAAATGGATCCTGACCCTACTGTATGCTCTGAAGATCCAAGGCATGGCATGGAACTCCCTGTGAGGTTTCCCTGAGAACCAAATACACACGCGCACATACACACACACACACACACACACACACACACACACACTCCTCCTGTCAAATTGCACGGTCACAAAGTGTGGCTAATCTCTACCCCACTTCTCTGATGCAGAAGCAAAGGAATGTCAAGGATGATTAAATGTAGTTAGGCTAGTGCAAGCGCACACACACCACACACACACACACACACACACACACACACACACACGAGCCCTGTCCTCACCTCAAAGGACTTGGCCTCTGTGTGTGGGACAGGCAGGAACCCGGGAGTCGGGGTTGGGGATCCAGGTCTGCAAAACATAGTGTCCACACTGACCCAGGGACAAAACCCGCAGCGCCCTCGGCTGACTCACCGGACGATGCCAAACATGACAAGCACGTTGCCCAGCAGCCCCACCGCGCACACAGCAGAGTAGAGCTCGGTGATGGCGATGGCTAGGGCGAGGGATGAGGCGCTCCGAGCGCCCGGCGGCCCCGACGCGTTGGCGCTCGCGCTGGGGAAGGCGCTGGGGTAGGCGTCCGAGGTGTTGGCGAGGAGCGGGGACTGCAGCTCCGCACGGGCAGAGGGCACCGGCTCCATGGCGCCGCCGCGTTCGTCTCCACCGTGCGCCCTGGGCGCAGGGACCCAGCGAGTGGCGAGCGGACAGCGGAGGCCACGGCCCCGACGCCGCAGGCTGCAGCGCTCGCTCCCGCCCCCTCCGCCCAGCCGGCCGCCCGCTTCGCTCGCCCCAAGCCCCGGGAGCCCCGAGCCGCCGCACCACGTGGCTCGGAGGCGGCCGCCAGTCTGCGCCCGCTATCGGGGGCGGGCGCTGCACCACCGGTTCGGGGGCTGGGCTGGAGAGGCCTCCCGCGCGCTCCCTCGCTGGGCTCTGCAGGCCCCAGGCGCCCCCGGTCCGGACTGGCCTCGCGCCCCACCCCCGTGCCACTTTGGAGTCAGAAGAACCTGGATGCGAATCCCACCTCCCGCCTCTGCACGGACTAGGGAAGGAACCTTGAGTGAGTCGCTTAAGCGCTCTCAGGTTCAGTCTCTGTATCTGCAAGATGAGGAAAATTTCCCTGCTGCCTTCATAGGGTTTGGGGGAGATGGAGACAACGGAATAAAGAAATCTCAGATTTCTTTCCCGACACTCGGTGTTGTGTGCGCCCTACTCTTCGCCCAAAACAATTCAAGTGATTCCTGACCAAGAGGCAAAAACAAAACCGGCCGGTTCGCCCAAAAGATCCTAATGAGTTCATAAAATCAGCTACAACTCCGGGGGGGGGGGGACTGGAAATGGGCCCACCTGAGTCTATAAGGACTTGCATAGGAGTTGGCAGTAACCCCTTCGAGGTCACTGGCGTCTCACCCCGCCAAGCTGAATAGGTCACGACGACCATCAAGACGGTCGGGTGTGAGTTACTAGAAACACGACTTTCCTGTCCGGATCTGTGCTCTGAGCTAGCAGAATGCTTCAGCGATAAGTGGAAACTGAAGAGTGAGGGAAAGCGATCCACAAACATCCATTATCAGCCATGCCTTTTTATGCCCCGTTCATCAGCTCCCAGAGTCTCCGAGGGAGGGCTAACCTAAGAGGCAGGCTCACTGGTGTACATAATCAGATGAAGGCCGGCTCCCAGGGGCTTACAGTGCAGAGGGGAAGCCTACGTTAACTCTAAACCTCACACTTAATGAGGCCCTAGTTGAGAAAGGGGGCATGGCAGTGAAAGTCGGGGTCGGGATAGGTTTCCCTTCACACTTGAGGTGATGTGTGAGTTTAGAAGTGGGGGAGATTAATTTATGGAAGAAAAAGGAAACACAAATACAAAGGACCTCCAGTCCTAAGGACTGAAGACATCCGGGGACACCAACAGGAAGTGAGCTGGAGAGAAAATGGAACTCCGTGACGGGCAGGATATTACAGACCCCGGGCTGGGTTGGTTAGTTTGTTGCCCTCGATTTGACAGAGGAAATCTTAATTGAGAAAATGACTCATCAGATTGGGCTGTAGGCAGGTCTGTGGGCCATTTTCTTGATGGATGAAAGATGCGGGGGCAGGGTGCCACCCCTGGGTTGTATTCGAAAGCAAGCTGAGCAAGTCAGTAAGCAGCTTCCTCTGTGGCTTCTGCTTCAGTTCCTGCCTCCAAGTTCCTGCCTTGAGGTCCATAGAGGAGGGGCTGTGATGTGGAAAGGGCAAACCAGTTAAATCCTTTCCTCCCCTAGTTGCCTTTGGTCCTGGTTGGTTTTCGTTGCTGTTGTTGTTTTGGGTTTTTTGTTTGTTTGCTTCTTATCACAACAGTCGAAACCCTATCTAAGACCAGCAACTTGAGTGGGGCTGGAGAGACGGATGTCTCAGTGGTTAAGAGTACTTGCTGCTCCTGCAGAGGACTGGGGTTCAGTTTCCCAACACCCAAGTGGTGGCTCTCAACAGTCTGTACTCTGATTCTAGGGGTTCTGACCCCCCCTTCTGGCCTCCACAGACATTGCATACACATGGTGCATATAAATTCCTTCGAAGATTCAACAAACAAAAGAGATCTCTCAGGGTGGTGGTGCACGCCTTTAATCCCAGCACTTGGGAGGCAGAGGCAGGTGAATGTGTTCAAGGCTGGCCTGGTCTACAAAGCAAGTTCCAGGACAGCCAGGACTGTTACACAGAGAAACCCTGTCCAAAAAAAAAAAAAAAAAAAAAACTATGTAAAAGTGTGTTGCATTTGTTTAACTAGGTAAAGATGTGTTGCTGTTTCATCTTGCCTGCCTAAGACACTTGATTGGCCTAATAAAAAGCCGAAGAGCCAATAGCCAGGCAGTAGCTAGGCAGGACTGGTGGGCAGAGAGAACAAATAGGAGGAAGAATTTAGGCTGGAGAAAGAATGAGAGATAAGAGAAGAGAGAAATAGAGGCAGACACCAGGGGCCAGCCAGACATCCACCAGGCAGACACAGAAGAAGCAGGGAAAGTAGGACATACAGAATGAAGTAAAGGTAAAAATCCCTTTGGCAAAATATAGATGAAGAGAAACAGGCCAGATTAAGTTACAAGAGCTAATGGGACAAACATAAGATAAGGCCGCACATTCATAACTAAAGATAAGTCTCCAATCATGATTTGGGATCTGGTTGGTGGCCCAAAAGAAAGCCTGGAAGTGGCTGAAAAAGAGTGGCCCATGCTTGGGGGGGGGGTGGGAGGGTGGCACACGCCTTTAATCCCAGCACTCAGGAGGCAAAGGCAGTCAGATCTCTGTAAGTTTGAGGCCTGGTCTACATTGTGAGTTCCAGGACAGCCAAGGCTACCCAGTGAAACCCTGTCTCAAACCACAAACAAATCAACTAAAAAGAATGGCCCAAATAGGCTCACGAGGGAGCAGTGGCACCATTTAGAAGGATTAGGAGGTGTGGCCTTTTTGGAAGAAGTGTTTCACTAGGGATGGGCTTTGAAGCTTCAGAAGCCCAAGCCAGGCACAGTGACTCTCTCTTCCCACTGCCTGCAGATCCGGATGCAGAGCTCAGCTCCTTCCCTAGCGCCACATCTGCCTGTGTGCTGCCACGCTCCCTGCCATGATGAGATGGACTAAACCTCTGAACTGTAAGCCAGCTCCAACGAGATGCTTTCTTCTATAAGAGCTGCCATGATCACTGTGTCTCTTCACACAGAACAGGGACTAAGACCCAACACCATCATTACTGTGCTCCAAGTACTGTGCTGAGTACTTTATTCAGGCATCACCACTCAGCAGTGGAGTCTGATTATTGTCCCACTTTGCAGATAAGAAAACTGAGGACTGACACTAAATAAGCCCATATGGTAGCTTTACTATATGATCTTTTCACCATCATGACCGAGTCTGATTGATCCCCTGAAGCCAGGAAAGGGCTGGTCATATTGGGTGCTCAAGAAATGTCATTTGAAATGATAAAGATCCCGAGGTAGATTGGAGTAAGATCGTATTGGGGCTTCTTGGTTCTGTGCTCTTGGGTAATGTCCTGGGCTCTGAGAAGTTAGCAGGAGAAGTTCCTTCCTTCCCCCCCCACCCCCACCCCCGCCATGAGTCGTTTATCAAGGCATTTATTCTTTCCCAGAAAGAACAGAGCCAGGGCCTGGAGAGATGGCTCAGCAGTCAAAAGCCAGCATTGTTCTTTTTTTTAATTTTTTAATTTATTTTATTTATTTATTATGTATACAATATTCTGTCTGTGTGTATGCCTGCAGGCCGGGAGAGGGCACCAGACCTCTTTACAGATGGTTGTGAGC